GTAGTCTAGGCATATCACTGTTTCTTCGACTAAATTTATTTAAACACTGTTCACACACTATTAATTCTTATTCTTAAAATTAATAATAATAACTTTTAGTGCGCGATTATAGAACCGTTCTTTTCAAGTGACTGAGAAGTACTGATATTTAAGCGAACCATCCACATACCAATTACATATTTTGTCTACCTATGGAATACTATATTTAATATATTGCTACCTGTTTTTTCTATATTGATATTTAGAATAAACATCAAGGTGCAATATTCAGGTAGAATATACCTTTTAGGAAAACAATCATTATTATAAAATAGTGTAACAAGTTAAATATTTTCATATAATCAAACAGGTAATAAAAGCATATTTATTGGAACAAACAAGGTAATAAAAGTGTATTTATTGGAACAAACAAGGTAATAAAAGTGTATTTATTGAAACAAACAACGTAATAAAATGAGCCCTTTATGAAATAAATATTTGCAAATTTACCTTGCAGAATATTTTAATCTCCCGTGCAATAATTGAAGTTACACTACCTGGGGTTATATGTACTTCTCTGCAAGGAATAGTAAACCAAGTAAACAATGTATAAACCATTTTAATTTATTTTCAAAATTTGGCAGAATATAATATCAAGAGGTAGGGCATTTTGATATTTATTTTTTAATATCCAGATAAATCAACACTTATAACATCAAACTGCAGAATATCAAACCGTTCTAAAAATTGTATATTTAAGCAAAATTCTGTCATAATTCTGGGTACTAATTACGAGCTTCAAGTACATCATTATGGTCAATTCTTAAAAAAAACCTAAACGAGAGCGATCTAAAGTCGGGAAGGGCCAACTATATGATTTCCTACACTACCAAGATATCCCACAGATGAAGATGATTCTTTTGAAAAATGTGGCTAAAATCATTCAAATACCGGAGATTAGGGAGTATCGCTTTATGAGCGGTATAATATGGATCAACTTTGTAATGCAACGAAAAATTGCAGACAATTCCGTTAATAATGTAGTTAAAATCATAAAAAATATGGAATATCTGGGGGGTATTGTTATATGGGCGCTATACGTGGACCTATTTAGACAATTATATTTTAGGGGTTAAAGTACTCAGAAGAAACACATTGTGTGCATTTTCCGACAATTCCATTGGATTCCACTTAGCTACAATATGTTGGTGACATACGATATCGTAGACTAATATACACAAAATTTTCCAATTTGTGTGGGTTCACATAATTCCATTGAAAATGTGGTTAAAATCATCAAAATAACGAATATCCGCGGGTACAGTTATCGGGCTGATTACGGTATCGTACACCTATATAGAAAAGTGCCTTCCAGGGGGTAAAAGACTTGTAAAGAACTCTTTGTGTAAAATAATAATTCCAATAATAAAAGTGGCTAAAATCAATCAAATACCGAATATATGAGGGTACCGATATATGGGGACTATACGATATCGTGGACCTATATACATAATCCTCTTTCAGTGGGTAAAGTACTCACAAAGAATTCCTTGTGTAGAATTTCACACAATTCCATTGAAAAATGTGGCTAAAATCATGAAAATAGCGAATATCGGGGGGTACCGTTATATGGGGGCTATACGATAACGTGGAACTTTATAGACAATTCTTTTCCAGGGGGTAATGTACTCACAATAAACTCCTTGTGAGAATTTTCACACAATTCCATTGAAAAATGTAAAAATCATGTAAAACCATCAAATACCGAATATCGGAAGGTGCCTTCTATGGGGTATATACGATATTGTCGACCTATGTAGATAATTCTCCTTTAGGGGGTAAAGTACTCACAAAGAACTCCCTGTGTAGAATTTCAGATGATTCTATTGAAAAATGTGGCTAAATCATAAAAATAGCGAATATCGGGGGTACCATGATCTGGGGGCTATTCGATATTGTGGACCTATATAGACAATTCTATTTCTGGGAGTGAAGTACTCACAAAGAATTCCTTGCGTAGAATTTCAGACAATTCCATTGAAAAATGTGGCTGAAATCATCAAAATACCGAATATCGGAGGGTAACGGTATATATATATATATATATATATATATATATATATATATATATATATATATATATATATATATATATATATATATATATATATATATATATATATATATATATATATATTATTTTTTAGGGCGTTATGTACTCACAATGAAATCCTTGTGTGGATTTTCACACAATTCCATTGAAAAGTGTGGGAAAAATCATCAAAATAACGAATATCGGAAGGTGCCGTTATATGGGGAATATACGATATTGTGAATAATTCTCTTTTAGGGGGTAAAGTACTCACAAAGAACTCCTTGTGTAGAATTTCAGATGATTCTATTGAAAAATGTGGCTAAATCATAAAAATACCGAATATCGGGGGGTACGTTATATGGGAGATATACAATATCGTGACCTATATAGACAACCCTCTTTCAGGGGGTAAAGTACTCACAATGAGCTCCTCGTGTAGAATTTCAGACAAATCCTTTTAAAAAATGTAGCTAAAATCATCAAAATACCGAATATCGAGCAGTATCGTTATATGGGGGATATACGATATCGTGGACCTATATAGACAACTCTCTTTCAGGGGGTAAAGTACTCACAAACAACTTCTTGTGTAGAATTTCAAACTATTCCATTAAAAATGTGGCTAAAATCATCAAAATACCGAATATCTGAGGATACCGTTATATGGGGGCTATACGATATCGTGGACCTATAAAGATAATTTTTTTTCAAGGAATAAAGTACACATAAGGAACTCCTTGTGTGAATTTTCAGACAATTCTATTGAAAAATGTGGCAAAAATCCTCAAAATACCGAATATCGGGGGGTACCGTTATATGGGGAATTTACGATATCGTGGACCTATATAGATAATTCTTTTTGAGGGGGTAATATGCCCACAAGGGACTCCTTTTGTGGAATTTCAGACAATTCCATTGAAAAATGTGGATAAAATCATCAAAAAACAAAATATCGGGGGTACCATTATATGGGGTCTATACGATATCGTGGATCTATGTACATAATTCTCTGCTAAAGTATAAAGTACCCATAAAGAACTCCTTGTGTGGATTTTCACACAATTCCGTTAAAAAATGTGGCTAAAATCATCAAAATGCCGAATGCCGGGGGGGGGGGTACCGTTATATGGGGGCTATACGATATTGTGGACATATATAGATAATTCTCTGCCGAGGTATAAAGTACCCACAAGTAACTCCTTGTGTGGATTTTCAGACAATTCCGTTGAAAAATGTGTGTAAAATCAGCAAAATACCGAATATCGGGGGTATCGTTATATGGGGGCTATATAGGACCTATATAGATAATTCTCTGCCAAGGTATAAAGTACCCACAAGGAACTCCTTGTGTGGATTTTCAGACAATTCCGTTCAAAAATGTGGGTAAAATCATCAAAATACCGAATATCGTGGGGTACCGTTACATGGGGGCTATACGATATCGTGGACCTATATAGATAATTCTCTGCCGAGGTATAAAGTACCCACAAGGAACTCCTTGTGTGGATTTTCAGACAATTCCGTTGAAAAATGTGGGTAAAATCATCAAAATACCGAATATCGGGGGGTACCGTTACATGGGGGCTATACGATATCGTGGACCTATATAGATAATTCTCTGCCGAGGTATAAAGTACCATCAAGGAACTCCTTGTGTGGATTTTCAGACAATTCCGTTCAAAAATGTGGGTAAAATCATCAAAATACCGAATATCGGGGGGTACCGTTACATGGGGGCTATACGATATCGTGGACCTATATGGACAATTCTCTGCCGAGGTATAAAGTACCCACAAAGAACTCCTTGTGTGGATTTTCAGACAATTCCGTTGAAAAATGTGGGTAAAATCTTCAAAATACCGAATATCGTGGGGTACCGTTACATGGGGGCTATACGATATCGTGGACCTATATAGATAATTCTCTGCCGAGGTATAAAGTACCCACAAGGAACTCCTTGTGTGGATTTTCAGACAATTCCGTTGAAAAATGTGGGTAAAATCATCAAAATACCGAATATCGGGGGGTACCGTTATATGGGGGCTATACGATATCGTGGACCGATATAGCCCATCTTCGAACTTGACCTGCCTGCAGACAAAAGAGAGATCTGTGCAAAATATTAGCTTCCTATCTTAATTCGTTTAGACTGTAGCGTGATTACAACAGACGGACAGACGGACAGACGGACAGACGGACAGACGGACAGACGGACGGACAGGGCTAAATCGTCTTAGAATTTTACGCTGATCAAGAATATATATACTTTGTTGGGTCTAAAATGATTATTTCGATGAGTTACAAACGGAATGACAAAGTTAATATACCCTCCATACCTTTTTTGGTGGAGGGTATAAAAACAGATAATAACGAATAATAATTTAAAAATTGATTTCTGTTTGCAAATTTCATTTTTGTGCAATAAAAATCCAATAAACAACCGAAAAGAATCCAATGAGTATTGGTTCGTCGTTGTCTCAGAATTGGCGCTTTCTCACTGTGGTTTTTGGCAATTCCAACTCTTGAACCCACGCCAATGTACGCCATCCTTTCGTTTGCCTTCACATTTGCAAACGCTCTAAGATATACTGTTACAATTCCATGGGTACTTGGCGCGAATGCTTTCTTGCCATGTATTTAGTTTAGGCTGAAATTCGGACGAGTGCAGACGACCATCAGGCTGGCTGGTCGTGCCGTGATGGGGTTTTTAATTGAGCATCAGAAATTCGAAGGAGAACAGTAAATAGATAACATTACATTACAGATAGATGCGCGATTGATTTTTATTAGATTTTAATTACTTATGCATGACCGCACAGATACACAACCTCATATTCATATCTTGATGCATAAACACAAACATACACATACATTCCTACGTACAGACGAAAACAATGTTTCTAATTCATTGCATATATAATTGCAGGTGTGTTGTGGTAGCAATTATTTTAGCCATCCTCTGTGCCTACTCTCTGTGGAAAAAGCGTCGAACACTTTGCGGCTGGGGCTTCAATGAACACCATGCACAATCTGAAGGAGACTCGGCTGGCTCGTGTTACGCTCCTCCGCAGTACAGCCGTTGTAATTCTTTCCATCATCCCCCGCCACCCTATACCGAGGTAAGTGCTCATAAATAGTCAAGGTGTTGCTGGAAGACAAACAAATGCTCGTTACTCGCATGCCCACCTGAATGCACTGCAGTTCAAAGGACCAGATCAAGTGTAGCCATTAGCAGGGAAATTATTCATTCGTAACAACAAAATAACTGAATAACATACATACCCTCATACATATGTACGTAGATGCATTATCCAAAACGAATGTTGAAATATTGGAGGTGGTTGTGTTAACAACGCTTCAAAGCGTTGTCAAGTGGCGGTAGTTTGAAAAAATTTTGCATTTTTACAAAATCACAACAAATTGGATTCAGTTATTTATCGAATTCGAACGTCTTCGTTTAATTACTTAAGTGTTTACAGCTAGGTATACTTTATCAGGTCACTTATGACACAAATTGTGGCTGTCAAAAGTTTTGTTTGAGAGGAGCCCATCAAAAGTGAAATAAAAGAGAGGGCATATAAGCTTGGAAGGCCAGTCAGTCAATCTGACAACTAAGTTTGCTGTCAAATGACATATTGTGATTTGAAATTCAAATATTTAATTTGGCTCACAATTGTGCAAAAACTGCTAAGTTTATTATCAAATTGTTGTCAAATGTAGTCTTCTTTGCCGATCTCATGGTACAATAAAAAAGTACCAGCTGATTACAATTTTTTTCTAAGTGTGCCCGACTTTTGTGTAAAAAAAAAATTTTTCAAAACCAATGATTGGAACACACGTACATTATGGTTCGCACATTAAAGCTTTTAACCAGTTTAGGCATAAAATTGAAATATTGAAAAGTTTGGATCATATTTTTTAGAGAAAATCCGGGTATTTCATTCATTTCTTGCGCCATTTTAACTCATTTTAAAAATGAGGAAAATATGAAAAAAATGAAAACATCTTGTTGTATATAATTTTGAATGTGTCTGACAGGAAGCGGGCATTTCCGATCTTATATAGGCCTTGGTAGGACTGTTTATGTACGACAATACCGATCTGGGAAATAGATAGAGGTATCGAAAAAAATCATTCGAAATATGCATTTTAGCTTGATTAATTTAAAATTATCAAAACTAATGAAGGATACAGCAGCTTGGCATAGTTGCATGGAATACTAATGTCAAAATTATTCCATGCGATGAAACTAAGCAGCTTATGTATCCTCACCTTTAGATTTTGTGATTTAATATCCACAAAAATCCTCTATACCAAATTATACCCTCCAACATAGTGTGGAGCATGGTTCAATAAGAAAGGATGCTCAACTTCAAATAGACTTTTAAATATATAAAAGTTGGTTTTGTTTATTTTTTATTTTTTTTTTTAACAAAATTCGTATATTGGGAGAGACCCTCGAACAAGAATGAAATGTTGGGTTTAATCCACAACATTGAATCTAAAATAGTAGGAAAATACAATTTTATCCCAAAGTCGTACAATGAGTTGTATTTAGGGGGTAGCTTTGTTCTACCTTCTGTAATTGTGCAATTGTATATTAAGTTTGTCATTCCGTTTGTAACACCTCGAAATATACACTTTAGACCATATAAATTTTTATATATTGAAATCGGTTGACGTATGGATATAGCTCTTATATATATTTTGTTGGTTGAGTTTACGTATTTGATGCACCAAACATAATTTGATGCGCCGAACATAAATTTTTGAATTTATATTGAAATCTGAAACAGATTTCGCCTATGTATTTGATGCATCAACACGCTATGTATGTCAAATTTCAAAGAAGTTTGGAATTTGTAATGGAGTTCTAACTAGACTAAAAGTAAAAAAACTACATAACAACATAATTGAGGCTACGAATATTATGGGGAAGTATGTAGTGCGAATCCCTCCAATAGCCACAAAAATGCAGTTTAACTTGTAAGATTGCAGTTTCCTATACAATTCACAATTGCTGTGACAATTTATAAATTCCAAGTCAAACTCTTCGTGTATGCGGACTAAATTTAGCATGTTCCTGCCGTTCTCATGGTCAGCTGTACGTGGAATGTTCACGTGACCCATCGATTTATATGTTTACACTCCTAAAGGAAAAAGTGTTGCGAGATTCGTACCTGCATCTGGTAACTAAAAGTATTTTTTTTTTTTTTTTGGAAATGAAAATAATTTATTTAAAATCTAATCTACAATCCGTCTCGACATAGCGGGGAATATGTTTTTTGACAATAAAAAAAAATATTTTTGTGCGAAATATAAACAAAAAAAAAAAAAAACTAGTCAGGTTAAAGGTCTCTTATGGATCGATTTCGATTTTGGTCTTGATTTCATCGTTATATTTGTGTCTTACAGAACCCCACAGATTACAAACCCGTCTTCACCTTTTTGTATATAATAATTGGATTGGATTGGTGTTTGGATAGGAATTGAGTGACAATTAAGACAATGAGATGGTATAAAGCTCTTGCGCAACTGAGCGAGAAAAACCACAAAATAGAGTAAATCACAATTCCTTAATTTCGTTTTGAATTTGCAATTTTACAAATTTATATTTTTGAAATATTTAACAAATAATAAAGCAAATTCGAATTATGTTGACAGCAAATGTGGGTATCAGTTGGTCTTACTTGTCGACCTTATAATTGGGCCATGTTGTTACCCATGTAAGAACTAAAAATGTAAAGCCAAGCAATCATATGCTTACAATTTTTCCAAATTTATACATTTGACAACATCTCATTGTCAAAATATATATTCATAAATCCTTTGTATAAACATAAAATCAGAGATGGGAAATGATTTTTTATGCAATGAAATTTGGCAAGTTAAATTACAGAAAATGCAGATCTGGGAATGCTTATTTGAAAAGTGGTTACCTTTTTTTCATTGTACCATGCTGTTACCCAAGGTGTATTTACAAGAGGACACGGTAAGGCAAGCTGATGTCAAAACACAAATTTTTCAAATTTAAAAAAAATGTAAAGTTTTTTTTTTGATCAAAATATACACGTACAATATTGAGATCTAAAATTGCTAAAATATTGTCTTGAGTTTTCTTCCATTTTGATGGATTCTACGCAGAACAATTTTTGACAGGAAAAGAATACTGAACTCGGAATTCGCCTCCTGTGTGACCATATTAACGTAACTGACAATATTACCCTATATTCTGCCATTAAAGGAGACATATGTTCTGTTCCAGATCCTACAAGAATGTAAAAAGTTTACAATGATAACCGTTATATCATTAATGAGGTTCTAGAACACTGCATATGATTGTTAAACATTCATTACATTTTTTTATGGGAATTGAAACATGTTTTAACCAAATGTCATAAAATTGTTTTGACACAACTACATTTTGCGAGTTCTCAGTATAAAAAAAAAGTAAAAAAAACTCTCTACATTAATTAAAATTGTATATTCCATAAATTTATACCATTAATCCATGCCTATGTATACAACATGTATACAGAGTATGCCCTGAAAAAGGAGACTAATTTGACTTCTACACAAAACAGTGGTAATCGTTTTTTTTTTCTTATTCCCAGTTTTGATCACGACAATGTTCATATTAATAACGATAACTGAGCACATTTATTCAAAACAACTTTATGTCTTTCCAACAATGAACAACTCATAATTTAAAAAAAAAAAAATAAAATAACATTCTTTATTATTTTCATTTCAGGTGACATCGAAACCAGATCTCTACCCGTTGGTGTTCACCTGCAATAGTGATAATGGTAAAAATGGTTCCAGCTATCTAATGGTACAATATTTTCGCAATTACATAGTGCGTCCGGCCGGATCCCTGTCGGCGGCCAGCACAGTAGATTCGCTTAGCTCTAGTTTTATATGCAACATTAACGAAGCAAATACGCTTGTACCGCCGCCGTATTCGAGGGCAGCCAGTCCTGAGATTGGTTTCAGTTCACACTTTCAGCAGCAGTATATGATGCCGCGCTCCGCATCCCAGCTGGTGTGCCAAAATGTCAATAATGGAAATTTTATAGGGGCCCCCGGCAATGCAACCGCAACTGCGGCCAGTGGGAATGGCCAATTTGAATTGAGCAATAGTTCTCAGATGTATAGTGGCCGTTCGACCAGCACACATTACGCCACCGTTACGGTCAATGCAACTGTGAACCGTATGGCCGCCAACAGTACGACTGGCGATCGCAGTCGGGAGAGAACTACCAATTTCAATGGAAATCAGCACGATTTTGAGAGCAGCCTGTCCTACGATGATGCGACTGAGAACGACGAACGCACAAACGATAATATTAATGCCAATGTGATAAATTGTAGTAGTAGTAGCAACGACATACGCGTGTTGCCCAATAGCAGCGGATTCGCGCAATCGCAAAGTGATCAGCATTTCCGATACATAACGAACAGCAACAGCAGCATTAGTGATATTTTTGTAAACAACAGTTGTGCAGCGGGAATTGGAGGCGGAGGTTCGAGTAGAGTCAACAGGTCGGAGAATTCGTCTATAGTGGGCTCCGTGTCCGGCGCTGGTGCGGTCGTGCATCCCCAGACAGGCGGGACACCTGTGATCTACAGCAATGGATGTATAAAACCCATTCCACTGCATCGAGCCAGCACAAACCCTACCCAATTTCATGTGGACCCCTCATCGAACAGGGAGACAGTACTGTATCAGTCGAACAACTCAATAGGTGGTATTTCAATAACAGTTCCTACTGGAATCGAAGATTCGTCAGTTCTTTGCAATGACAACGAAATTAGAGACTTGCAACTCTTGAGAAGGAGCTTGGAAACTTGCTGTCAACTCCTGCAACAACAGCAAAAGCTTCCTTCGGGCAATTTCGCTTTGGGCGAATCTCCTCTCCGCATGAACGAGCTGGCCAAGAAGTACATAGACGAGGGTCTCCTACGTAGCTATGTGACCTCGGGAACATGTTCTGGCGTCAGTAGTCTAGCCAATATAGGCACGCCAAGTTCCCCGCCTCAAGCTACCAGCCCCACGGGCGAAGTAAAGGAGATTCTCGATCAAATTCGACAACTGCAAGAGGGCGTTACAAAATACGAGGAGGACTTAGCTTTCCGGGCTGTTGGTCGACCAATTCTACACCACACTTTGTCTTCACCGGCCCCGTCGGCAAATAGAAATGCGGCGCAAACTGCAAATGTTGGCGGAAAGCTTCAACGCATCTCCACCATGCCCGAACAACAATCATTAGCTGAAGCCGCCAAGGTAAACGTCTTAGTTAAGTCGTCGGTGGCAAATAACTCTCCCACTAACTCACTCACCTCAGTACCGTCAACCTCGTCAGTCCTGGTGGGGACGCAGCCATCCAGCAAACTCACGATTAGCAAAACATCGCTAAATGGCAGCGGTAGTTCAGCGGTCCCTAACAGTAGTTTTATCTTTTCTTCGTCATCGAAACGACCATCAACGCTCCAACATAGCAAAAAACGCTTCTATACATCGAAACCGCCCAACAAGGCCATGTACATTCCTATGATGGCCACGAATCAGGTACCATCGGGCAGCCGCTGTACCATCCTGAAGAGTCCCGTGACCAGCGTAGTAAATTCGAACTTCTTTACGAGCCGTGGCAACCGACAACGCAAAGGTTGGATCTCAAGATCTGCTCCAACAACTCCAGCAACACCGTTACCTCCCAGCTACATGGACGATGACAGTCCTCTGTTGAATGAACACGACGAGGATCAAGAGGCCGAGCAAAATGCGGAAATGGAAACCTAGGCTTAATGCGTCTGTCAACCACGTCGAATAAGGCTCTTGAATAATAGCACACCATAAGGTCCAAAATGAATAATAATAGTCACACTTCTATGTTTTAAAATAAATTATTGTAGATGCATGGTTTTTAGATTCTCTTCACGTGCAGAATTATGAATATGAGCAAATTGGCTCTCCATTTGGCTACGTAGCTACATGAGCGACAAACTCAAAATACTCCAGATCACGGTCGACCAAAAAGAGAGAGAGAGAACAAATGAGTATCCAAAAAGTAACTTGATTACGAATGAACAAGTAAAAAAAGCAGTAAGTTCGGCCGGGCTGAACTTTGAATACCCTCCACATTTGGAAAGAATTTGGAAATTAAAAAAAAAATAAAATCCCTTAAAAATTCCGATAAATCTTAAAAATACCTAATACATCCGTTATATTGGGATCTATACCAAAGCGTGGACCTGCATAGAAAACTTTTGTCATAAGCCATTAAAATATTCAAATACGAAACTTGAAAAATAAGATCCGGTGAATAATGTAGCTAAAATCATCAAAATACAGAATGTAGGGAGGTACCGTTATATCAGGATATACGAAGACCTGAACCTGCATAGACAATTTTCTGTCACAAGCTGTAGTACCTATTAGGAACTTCAAATACGAAATTTCAAACAATTTCGGTCGTCGAAATGCCGAATATAGGAAGGTACTGACATATACGAAGACCTGGGCCTGCATAGACAATTTTCTGTCATAAGCTGTAGTTCCCATTACGAACTCTAAATACGAAGTTCTGCATATTGGGGGGGGGACCGTTATATGGAGGCTATACGGAAGCATAAGCAATTTTTTCTCATAGGCTGTAGTACACATAAAAATTCTAAATACGAAATTGTCAAAATATCGAATGTCGGGGATACCTTTGTATGTGGGCCATTGAAAAATATAGCTATAGCTATATATAGCTCTTGTGGATTTTCAGACAATTTAATTGAAAAGTTAGGCAACAATCATCAAAATACCGAAATAGGGGGGGGGGGGGGTTGTACCCTTATATGTGGGCTTAACGATATCCTGGACCGATATAGCCCATCTCCGAGCTTGATCTGCCTGCAGATAAAATATTAATCTGTGCAACATTTTAGCACAGATCTGTACATGTTAATTTGCAATCACCTTACAGGTCGAAATTGTGGCCCGATCCTCAAGAAATAAATCGCTTCTTTACTTTTCGAACCATTTCTGCTGATGTTGCTGTTTTCTTCCGTCCACTTCTTTGAAGTCGGGCTACGCTACCAGTGTCACGGTAACGAGCGATAGTACGAGACACAAAAGATTTATTCACATTTAAATTCTGGTGCTTTAGCGATAGCCACTTGTGTTTTTCCAGACAAATATAAAGAAATCACACTATCACGCTTGAATTCCATCACGAATAACTTTTTTCTGGAAAATTCTCACCAAAATGCTTTTATACGCTTGTAAACAATAAGTGAGCTGTCACTGGAATAACAGATGTCGGACGAGTGGCTTAGAAATGACAGCAGTCTAAAGTTGGTTGCAGTTTTTTCATCTTACCCTGTATATGTAAAATAAATATATTAGTCATTCTGCTTAAAAGTCAAGAATCGCTGGACTGATTTTCACAATTCTCATAAATTCGGAATGGTATCTTGCCAGAAAAGGATAAGACCTAAGAAAATCGCGTAAAAATGTGCCAAAAAAAAAGTGAATATTTTTCTTACACTTTTTCAATTTTTGTCATATTTTTACAATTTTAATTACACATCTTTTAAAGTTTTTCTACACTCCGCGACACTAATTATTGAGGGTATTATACAGGTCGCAATTATCATCCGATCCTCAAGAGCCTATTGTATTTGAAGATGTACATTTAGGGGTTCAAATGGACCAAAAAAGGGCGCTTGCGACATATTGTAGTGTCGTAGGGTATTACATGGTCGGCCCCGTACGACAATAGCCTTTGCTTAATTGTTTATATTGTTTATACGTAATGCCCATCTGTGTTATTTTTACAGAAAATTAGATACTAAAATGGAGATACGACAAAGCTCACATAAAAATGCATGCAGGGGAGTGACTTGTAAAGTTATTCAAAACGATTCAACACAAAGTCCAAAACATTTGTTTTATGCTTGTCGTGTGCATTTGGGACGTATATGTGTGAACAGCCGAAGCACTTCGTCGACCGTGCTCTGGAATGAGCTCATCTGCTATAAGATTTCTTTTCAGGATGGAACGGTTTGATTGGTTTAGGATTAGGGGAAAGACTTACATAAAAAATTTTACTCGTGATCATATTTGGTGTGTTCCAGAACCTGCAATTTTCTTCGATATCATAAAGCAAAAATCGGTTATCTTGCAGTTCTGGAACAGACTTATGTGGCGTTTCCACTACACTTGATTCGCTCTCTATTCTTTGTTCGACCCTTAACTATGAAAAAAACTACTTAATTCTTCACACAAAATTTCCTGAGCGAACACTTATATTTGTACATTGTTCAAATCAAATCACTCTCCGAACAACGAAAAAATATGTCCCATCCCTAACAAATGAGAGCATTTATCGAAAAAATAATTTTTGACATTCAAAAATTAAAACTAGAAAAATTTAATGAAATTTTAAAATTTTTTTGGGAAGACTGAAAATTATGAATGAAAACTACAATGTTGAATGGCGTATGTACATTCAAACGAAAGTACATTTTGTTTTCTCTTTCATTCGAGGTACACATTTTGTCCACGAGTTGAAATTTCCACAGAAAACTGCAAACAAAAGAGCAATATTTTCAAAATGTTTGTATCGGCAGAAAAAAATTTTTGACAAGTGTCTCTCCAGCAGAATTTAAAATTAAAAAATACAAAAATATGTTCAAAATGTCAATATTTACACAAAAACTTGAAAACATGAATAAAAATTGTAAAATTAATGATATAATTATTATTTGGAAGAAAAACAATAATTTCTTATATTAATATTAGTGAGAATTTCATGTATTTTTGTATAAATTCCCATTCAAATCAACAAACAAAATTTGTGAAAAAAGGAATTATTTTACTATGAATTACGAATCGTGCCGTATGAACGGGTTAATTCGTGTACCTAATTCTGAGAGCGAACAACGTGATTGAAAGTGTAATGAGAACATAGCATTATTGTCTATAAAAATTTTATTTGATTAAATATAGTTTCTGGTTCAACGAAATTAGCTTTAATGTAATATTTGGAGCAGACAACGAAACGGAACGATTTTCGATGTTTTTTTCAATTTTTTGGTGGATTTATTGCGATATAGCTTTTGTCTTGGTCTAAATTCGCCTCCTGGGTGAAATTATAGATAAGCTTTACATCGATGAGGGCAAGGCAAGGCAGAGCTACCATGGCATGGCAAATTTTATGCAATTTGTTTAAAAAAAAAAAATATTCAACCTCAGTGGCAACAATATTGATTCTTAAAAATTGAATCTACCTGTAGCGAGACAGAACTGTCACTATCGGCAGGACTTAGCGACTACTTTATTTTGGTTGCTAATTAGCCGAAAATTTTCGTTAGTTACCGAATTTTACCGATAACACAAAAAATTAGTTAAAGAATTACACTACTGGTGCGCCTTGTAACGACTGTATTATCCGCCCACCTCTGATTTGGAGTTTTCGTTCGTACAAGAATAGAATTGGTATACCATTTGAAAAACTCCTGCCCATTTTGAATTCACTTTAATTTAAAATTTGCTATTACGACGATCAACGTTTTTAAACGATATGAAGAGATGTATCGACTTTTTTTTAAATCGAAGAAAGAAATCGTAATTGTTCAGACTAGTACTACATTGTTATAAACTGATTATTTATTCAAGAATTTGCCGCAATGTTTGCCAACTTATTGTGTTGGGAACCCCATAAGAGACTAAAACAAAAAAGAAACATTAAAAAAAAATTATATTATTAATGAAAAAAAGCCAAATATGTTGATACAGAATTTGCGAATGGCAGGTAGGATTTTAAAATTTGTAAGCAGATTTTTTGACCACGTAGTTGGTCAATAATAATTCCAATATTAACTTTTCCCAATGTCACTGCAATAAACAATGTATATTGTTATTTTAAAAATATGATAAACAAACTTAATTTTCATTTAACGTCCACATAAACCCCAAAATAGCAGGACGAAATTTTTGCCGCTCTTTATATTCTTTTTGGAGGTCATAAGTGCAGAAATAATGGATTTACTCATCCCGATTTCTAAAGCACGAATGTAAAGCAGTGCTGTAAACAAATCGGTTCAGTGGTTCATACCATGGCATAATTACAGAAAGTAGGACAAAGATATCTTCTAAGTACAATTTTATTCCTTTGGTCAAAATATTTACATAGATTGTGTGTGTATTCTTGGCTCAATAAGAAAGGTTGCTAAAATTCAAAGACTCTAGGAAAAATGCAAGTCTGTACCAGATAGGGGGACAATGTTGTTTTATCTCCGAATTAAACATTTTGTGGAGCATGGAAAATATGCATTTCTGTTGTATCTAAATTTGTATGCTATAAGGAACTAATCATGGTATAAGAATACAGACATCAACTCTTGGGAACATTCATATTTCTAAAATTTTGAATGATTTTAAAAAAATATGTAGGTTTATATATGTTTCTTATACAACGCCTATCAGAGGTTGTTAAGATATCCATTTTTAAACATTTTTTACAAATTTGAATAATTTTTCATTCAAAATGTTCTATTTCAAAATTGGTTTGACAGTTCATTGTCCCAGCAGCTGTGTGCATTCTTCTACCATGGAACTACTAAAAAATGCGTTGTTTACATTGCGACATAAATTTATAATTCATAATTCCGACCCCAACCATTTCTTCTTAATTGAATTAATTAAAAAATTAATTAATTAATTAAAACTAAATTGAAAAATTGGCAAATAATTATATTCCGCAGGTATATTTGCAATACTTTTTACTGTACCACACTACAATGAAAATTTATTTAAGCAATTGTGTAATTCTTTACCAGGACGTATACCAATTTCGGTCCAATAAAAAATCCAGCAATCCAGTAATTGTGTTGTGATTTAATTAAAAATTACCCAACAGATGATGGATAATGTATGGCATTCTA